GCTGGGCAAGGAGAGCATTCATCAGAGAAGCAGCCAAGAGGCTCATGGGAACTCTGGAGGAGCTGCAGAGATCCACAGCTCAGGTGGGAGAATCTGTCCTCAGGACAACTATTAGTTGTGCACTCCACAAATCTGGCCTTTATGGAAGAGTGACAAGAAGAAAGCCATTGTTGGAAGAAAGCCATAAGAAGTCCCATTTGCAGTTTGTGAGAAGCCATGTGGGGGACACAGAAAACGTGGAAGAAGATGCTCTGGTTAGATGAGACCAAAATTTAACTTTTTGTCATAAATGCAAAACACTATGTGTGGGGGGAAACTAACACTGCACATCACCCTGAACACACCATCCCCACTGTGAAACATGGTGGTGGCAGCATCATATTGTGGGGATGCTTTTCTTCAGCAGGGACAGGGAAGCTGGTCAGAATTGATGGGAAGATGGATGGAGCCAAATAAATCTTAGAAGAAAACCTGTTAGAGTCTGCAAAAGATTTGAGACCGGGCCGGAGGTTCCCCTTCCAGCAGGACAACGACCCGAAACATCCAGCCAGAGCTACAATGGAATGGTTCAGATCAAAGCATATTCATGTGTTAGAATGGCCCAGTCACAGTCCAGACCGAAATCCAATTGAGAATCTGTGGCAATACTTGAAAATTGCTGTTCCCAGACGCGCTCCATCCAATCTGACAGAGCTTGAGCGATTCTGCAAAGAAGAATGGGCAGAAATGTCCCTCTCTAGATGTGGAAAGCTGGGAGAGACTTCTCCAAAAAGACTTGGAGTGGAATTGCAGCAAAATGTGGTCCTACAAAGTACTGACTCTGGGGGGCTGAATACAAATGCTGCCACACTTTTCACATATTTATTTGTAAAAAATGTTGAAAACCATTTATCATTCTCCTTCCACTTCACAATTATGTGTCACTTTGTGTTGGTCTATCACATAAAATCCCAATAAAATACACTTACATTTTTGGTTGTAACATGACAACATGTGGAAAATTTCAAGGGGTATGAAAACTTTTTCAATGCACTCTATGTATATAATGGAATAAATGTAATATATAAAAAATACATAAAATTATATCTGATGTCCAATTTAAAGTGGATCTGTCAAAAAGTGGATAAATGAGGGTAGGAGACTGTCAGGCCACCAGGAAGCTCTACTACAGGAAACCGGTCTCAAGCCTACTGTAAGTAAATACAATTAATTACAATCACAAGAATCAAGTGACATGAAACATAACAAGAGCAACATTTACATAACCCAGGGAACACGTATGAAAAGTAGAAAACTAACTACCTATGTACAAACAGAGGAGAAGGGGAATCAGGTAGAGCAGAGCCAAATGGGAGTACAAAGTAATAGAAAGCTAGACTGGTTAGGAACAGGGCCAGAACAGATGGCGGGTTAAGGAAGTAACAGAACCAGAATACACAGACACACAGGTAAACATATTTAGGTACTGTGCAACTCCTAAGACAGGGCTAAATACCCTCTCAGCAGCCAGCATCAGGTGCTGACCAGGGGCGGACTGACCATTTGGAAACTGAGGCACTGCCCGAGGGCCCGGGGTCATTAGGGGGCCCCATGAGATGCCCCTGGTACCTTTTTCATAGGCTTTTTTGAGTTTGGGCAAGGACACAGGGACCCCATTTTCTGTGACCTACAGAGGTTGTGATTGTGAGATGAGGTGAAGAAGAGATGTTCTGCAATCCTAACCCACTTCCTGTCCTGTGGTGACAACGCTCCTCCATAAAATAACCATGAGCGATAGTTGTCACCCTAGGACAGGAAGTGTGTTACTGGCAGAATCACCGGGTTACACAGCTGGCAAGAGGTAAAGTGATAATAAAAATAATTTTTAAATAATTGAAATTAAAAAAGATGTTATACTTACCTGCTCTGTGCAACGATATTGCACAGAGCAGTCCCTCACCTCTTTTTTTTGAAAGTCCCCCATCAACATTTCTGCTCCTCCTTCCTCTAGGTCAGGGGTCTCCAAACTTTATGAACAAAGGGCCAGTTTACTGTCCTTCAGACTTTGAGGGGGCCGGACTAGGGGCGGACTGACCATTTGGAAACTCGGGCACTGCCCGAGTCCTCGGGGTCAGTAGGGGGCACCATGAGATGCCCCTGGTACCTTTTTCATAGGCTTTTTTGAGTTTGGGCAAGGACACAGGGGCCCCATGATCCCCTATTGCCCGGAGGCCCCATGAGTTGTCAGTCCACCCCTGGTGCTGACTGCCTAGAGACAACGGTTGGTGGACACTGGAACTGTACCATTCACGTTTGGAGACCATGGTGACACCAGCGGGTGTTTTAGTTCCTGACAGATCCACTGGATCAAACGCTTCTTCTGGCCTTGACAAGCCGAGTAGAATCTTGCATTGAAGAGTATACTGGCTCTGTTTAGGCAGCTCCTAGGCCCATATGAGCCCTACAGGCACTTTGGATGGAATCTAGGAGACGCAAGAAACCAGGAGCACCATACCAATGGTTTTGAAATTCAACAAATATTTGTTCAGAAATCAATTATAACAATTCGACACATTTCAGGGACTATAGAGTTCTCACGATTGTCAGTAGCTCTTCATCAGGACTCAGAATGCCTGTGCCCTGATTATGGACATGAAAGTGTAAAATATTCCTAACAAAAGCTTCAAAGCAAGCCCTCATTGACCTACGGAGCTGCTTGTACTGTGAAATAATTTATCCTCAATGACCTTTTAGATTACAACTTAGGGTATACTTAAATTAGGTGTTTGAACTTTGCCCGGGAACGGTTACCCCCCCCCCCCCCGTCCCAAGTCGGGTTAATTGGTGTCATGTGAGCTTTCGGAACCATGACCAGGTGCCTGGGACCACTTGGACAAAGTGGTCTAGGGAACTGTTCACTTGGAGCCTGCTATGGTTCACTTCATTGTGAGATCAAGCCTTGCCTGACCATAGAAATCTCCATAGATCACTGAGCATGGAAGCAAAGATCACTTGTCTGGTTGGCGATGATGTAAGCATGGCCAGGAACACTTCCCTTCAAGCACAATGTGAGGCAGACCAGCGGAGGACTTAGGCAGGAAGACAATTGCGCTCAGGCACAGTTCCGATCAATCGTGCAGAGTGTAAATACAACCTCTAAAGTCAATTTTGGTCAGTTTTTAAGACCAGGGAAGAAAAAACAGCTGGTTAAGCCATAGTTTTACTGCCCCCTGACCTTCCAGCTGCAAGTTTACATGGCCAGCGGTCATGTTGTGGTAAATTTGGGCAGTGCACCCAAGGACTAGATGACACTAGCTCTGGTTCAACTGGAACTACTTTATTGAACAGAAATACAGGTTTGTATGCACTTTAGAAATGGGGCAGTCCCCACATGAACAATAAAACAAATATTGCACATTGAGATAAGCATCCCACACTGATTAGGTAAGAGCTCGATCACATTATCCTAAACAATGCAAACAGTAAACAGTATAGCTAAAAGCTAACAATGATCTAATTAACAGCCAAGCACCCAGGCAAGCCAGGGAGCCTTAGCCAGGCAGTCCGGCACCTCCAACCCTCAATACACAAAGTACATTACACATGCTGTCTTTCAGGTGTTTGCTTTCACTTGTATAATCTGTCCATCATAAGACAAAATTCATACAATATTCCAACAGTCTGAAAAAGTTGAATTCATTTATCTTCATAGATTTTTAAGGGAGATTGTTGAGAAATAATCCTGTCCCAAGTTGAGGAGCTTCTTCAACCCAGTTTGCAGGGAGGTCCCATATTTCCGCTGACCATTAACCCGTACAAGGTTAATATTACACCTTTCCATCCACTCCAGAAGGGAAGCTGTATTGTCTTTAATTAACCAAGCCTCGCTCTCAGCGTTCATCACGTTGTTGTCCATCATTAGAGAATGATCTGCTCTCTGCCTGGGTCATAATCAGTGGGTAGAGGAGTGCCCGAAGATCCAAGGTTTCTGGGAGATAATCGTCCAACTAATTGAGAATATCTCTGGGATAAAGATAGGGCTGGACCCAGAAGTGTGTCTACTACACAGTACAGAGCTATCAGTAAATAAATACAAGGACACGGGGTATATGGTGCTATCTGAATGCGGCGAAGGGTCTGATACCTAAGTTCTGGCATAGACCAGAGGTGCCGAAGATAGAGGATTGGGTGGAAAGAACGAATCAGATATGTAGGATGGAGAAATTGTATTACATGCAAGAAGACAAGATGGGGTTATTCTCTAAGAAGTGGAGAAAATGGGAAGAATTTATGGTGAAATATATGAAGTAGCAATGTGAGAAAGATGGAAATATTTATATATCCTATATTCTATATATATATTCTAGTTGGGAAAAGAGGGTAATAGAACAATGCAGAGTGGGGGGGGGGTTTTATATGGGGGGGAGGGAGGTTTTATTTGGGGAGGAGGGGAAATTAGATAGGTGGGGGGGAGGTAATGGGAATAAAGATAGTAAGAAATGTAATTAATGATTTGGAAATGGTTTTTTGTATGAGAATAATGATGAAATATGTATTTTATATGGAAAATAAATAAATATTTAAATAAAATAAAAAAAAAAATAGTGGGTAGAAGGCTAGCCCCTTGTTCCCTCAATAAACTCCTGTCCTTGTTGGGTCTGTCACATGTATATTCTGGGCAAAGGTTCACTTTAAGATGAAATTGTGAACTCATGTGGAGTAGGAGACTAATGATAAGGATCAGGCTACAGTAGTTGGGTATTGTGGACACTTTATAGCCCCTTGTTATCTCGGAATATCTTGGATTTCTGTGATGAAATAAATATTTGTAGTGAGGAAGAAGAAGGAAGGGATAAAAGGAAAAGACAGATTTCATGTTAAAAAAAAAATAACATATTTTCTTTTTTTCAGCTTGTTGCCAGATACATCAATATTACAGTATTTTCAGCAAGATCTAAAACGCTACTTCGGAAAAGTTCTAATATTGTAGCCCTCAAGAAAGGTATTTTCTTCTCTCCATCATGGAGTCAGACTTGGACAATAAAAGGCAGCAGCAACAACATGGCAATAAACTCCTGGGACATATTAACAGGATGCGTGTGTCCTCCGAGCTCATCGACATTGTGCTGGTGGCAGAGGGGCACAGATATCCATGCCATCGGGTTGTGTTGGCTTCTTTTAGTCCCTATTTTAGGGCAATGTTCACCTGCGGCTTGATGGAATGTAACCAGACTGAGGTCACCCTTCATGATGTCACTGCTGGCAGTGTATCAATTATCTTAGAATACATGTATACCTCCCAACTCTACATAAACAATCTTACTGTCCAAGGGGTGGCCACTGCCGCCTACTTCATGCAGATGGATGACATTTTCCGGATGTGTCAGAATTACATGATGGACCACATGGATGCCTCAAACTGCATTGGGATTTATTACTTTGCTAAGCAGATCAGTGCAGATGACTTAGAGGTAAGGTCCAAGAAATATTTATATCAGCACTTCGCTGAAGTAGGCCTACATGATGAGATACTAGATGTTGACTTTGATCAGCTGATGACAATGATCGTGTCCGATGATCTCAACGTTTCACGGGAGGAAAGCATCTTGGATCTCGTTCTGCGATGGGTAAACCATGACAAAAACCTACGAACTGAGCACCTTATAGATCTCTTGAAACAAGTTCGATTACTATTAGTCAACCCGTCTTTTCTCCGTGAAGCCAGAAAAAGGAACACTGTGCTTTTATGCAATGCTCAGTGCTACGAGATGGTTGAACAAGCCTTAGATACCATAGAAAAATCCAGCCAGGTTTCTCTGAGCCTTCGCTATGGAATGGAGACCACAAACCTTCTCCTTTGTCTGGGGAATAATGCCTCGGGTATCAGGTCAAAATATGGAAATTATGGGGATTCCAGCTTCTGTTTTGCTCCAACGACAGGAAAGATCTGTTATATTCCCTCACCGAAACAAGGAGAAGTTTTGGGCTTGGTCTCAGCTGGTGTAGTCATGGAAAACAATGAAATAATTTTGGCTGGGGAAGCGACAGCTATTAGACTGGCTAGACAAAAGGAAAGACGTGTTGAGTTCTGCAGGTCAGTGGGTTTCTGGGTGGGTTATGACAATACTGGAATACATAAAGTATATCTAAAGCCAAATCCTTTTTTTGTTTTGGATAGAATAAGGAATGCTACAGCCCAATTCTGGAAAACTTTAAGATTATCCTTTGCAGTGAGGATGCACTCACACTGCAAGGGTTACCTGCTCATTTTGTCTAGAGGAGAAGCACCTTTACCTATGTTCCTCAGCTCCCTTGGCAGATGGTGGTGATGGACTCTCCCTCAGCATCAGCACGTCCAAGTAAATATTCTTCTATATGTCCCCTAGACCTAAACAAGCAATGGATCATTTTAAAGTTTCTTGGAGTTAGGCTTTAAAGCAGTGGTTCTCAACCTTCCTAATGCCGCGACCCTTTAATACAGTTCCTCATGTTGTGGTGACCCCCCAACCATAAAATTATTTACCCAGTAATTATAATTCATGTAGTGTCATTTTACCTCCAATACTGCTGCTTTCAACACAGTAGCTGCTTTTTACACAGTAGCTGCTTTCTACGCAGTAGCTGCTTTCTACACAGTAGCTGCTTTCTACGCAGTAGCTGCTTTCTACACAGTAGCTGCTCTTTACACATTGCAAATATGTGTTTTCCCAATGGTCTTAGGCGACCCCTGTGAAAGGGTCGTTCGACCCCCCAAAGGGGTCGCGACCCACAGGTTGAGAACCACTGCTTTAAAGTGTTGTCAGATTTTTAATGGTTACCGGTGTCCTTTGGGGGGCTTTCCCCTCACTTCCTGTCCCAGAGTTACAACAGCAGGTAAAAAGAAACTTTTCTAAAGTGGAATATTTCCCCTCACCTTCTGTTCCTATGACAATTGTTAAAGTTTGGATTTTCTATCACTCTTTTTTTCCAGCAATAATAGTCACCAAGACAAAGAGGGAAAGTCAATCTATCCAGATGGGACACATACTGCATTGCAAAAAACATACAGAGGTTTTAACTCATCTTCCACTTTCCATTCAAAACTAAAAAAAGTTATTTGTCTATAGATACGTTTTAAAGTGTAAATCTACTTTTTTTTAACAATCTTTATAGATGCTTGTAAACTTTCTTTGGCTATGTTGATATTCTGATCCAGGAGAGAAAATGATTAATTGTCATAATGCTATTTATTACCTATGTTGTTCATATAATTTGCAAGCCCTTCATTCAGTCCGGAGCTTGATATTCCCATGTGTGGCCATGTTTACTGCAATATTCTGTCTAGCTTGTAACACCAGGGTGGTTGATGTTTGTCACGTCCTCAATGTTTTTCAGTTACCTCGGTGAGCACCAAGCCTGTGAAACATGAGAGGTTTACCCCTGGGGTGGGTTCTCCTAGGCTCCTGAGACAGGGTCACTCTTTCTACTTCACACACATGGGATAGCTTTGCTTTCGTGCCGTTTTCACCAGTGCTCTGGGACAAGGCTGAGGTTGCCATCAGAGAACACTCAACCCCAAGGCGGACTTCTACTCTTAGAGATTAACGTACACCATGTACACTTGCACAGCAACTGTTCTTCGGTTACTTTCGGTCCCCATAGAAATGTGCCTTTTCCCATTTTAGCTTGCAATTGAGTATGCCTTGCCGAACACTGACTACAACCACCTGCATTTCCGTTTACCTATCCTGCTTGCAGCATGGAACCTGTGCACATAACGTGAGCCCCTCGTACTGTTAGGGATCCGGGTATGATCAGAAATGTGTGGGAACACAGGCGTAGTCAGGGCTGGAGAGGTGGAATGGTCAGGCAGGCCGTTAGGTACTGTACAGGGCGCGGGGTCTAAGTCCCAATCTGCTTATTCACCAGGGCCCCTGATGGTGGGGATGGACTTGGAGCAGACTGAGACTAGGTCGCGACCCCTGAGTATGTCCGGCAATGGTAAAGAGCGTCGTCAGAGGTGTGCGGGGAAAGGAGCCTGACGTGAAGAGATTGGCAGACCTGGTAACAGGGAGAGATCCATGAGGATGGATGGATCGTCTGGGTAGCGTCAGGCGTAGTCAGGCAGGCCAGGTCAGCAACGTGCGGGCAGCGAGGTACCGGAGAAGCAGGCAGAGAATAGTCAGGGTCACAAGCCGGTTCAGTAACTCACTGGCAGCGCGGTACAGAGGATCAGGCAGAAGGATGGTCAGGCAAGCCAGGGGTTAAACAGGAGACGGTCAGCAGAGGTCAGGATCAATGCAGGGTCAGCAACTAGGCAGAAAGGCAGGAACACAGGATACCAAGTACAGAGGCTCATGGGAAACAATACACCAAGGCACTGACTGCAGGTCTGGCCATTCCTTAAATACACCTCCTGCAATCAGCCTCAGGTGATGGCTGATTGCAGGAGTGAGCTTCTGGTTGCTGAGAGCACCCGCTGGCCAGCCCTGGTACTGCAGCCCACATGGCAGGTGAGTCCCACCACCAGTGGCGAATCCATTCCTGACACGTACCCTGACTTTAACTCCTGAGTTTCCATACCTCTATACAGGATGGATATCTCAGCAATGCAGTTCCACTCTGGCTGCTATGGGAGATGGAATGCAGCATGGGGAGTGCCGATAACCTTTCCCTCATGGCAAGAGGAAATTCCACCTATAACAGATACAGTATACTCCGCACCCAGGCTGCTCATTGACTGTACCTTCGTTGCTTGTGGCAACCACGTGTGTAACTTGCAATAAGGTGACTCCTACATGTTAACTCTTCATAGCCCATGTACTAGTGACCCGAGCTGTAGACTGTAAAGTTGTGCCAGTTACTTGTATTACACCCCTCTGAGTAGCTTCAGACCAGGCAAAAGGAAAAGTTTCAAAACTTTACTGAATAAAGTGCAATATTACAAACTCAAACAGAAGTTTAACAAAACAGTCAATTTTCTTAGGTCCCCAAGTCCCTAATCCTAAGCAGGCTATGTGCTGTCCCCGGTGAGGTGAGTCCGTGTGTCGTGTCATCCAACAGAGGAAAGTTCCAGAAGTTGGTTGAAAACCCCAAGTCTTTACGATGTACAAGGAGTTTTCACCATCTCTACACCTTTTCCAGGTGACTTTATCTTCGGGGGTTCTGGGCAATTAGCCAGGACTGTGGAAGTGAACCGGCCTTCTCTCACAGCAGATCCTCCAGACTCTAGACCAAGACCAAGGGTACAGGTCATTGGCCACCCGAGCTCTCTGACCCGGCCCACTGTCCCAATTTATACTCACAGGTGCAGTGGGTTGGATCCAAGAATCCAACCAAAGGATTATAATAAAATTAACCCCTACCCTCCCGGCCAGGACAGCACAACTAATTCTAACCTGCTTACAAGCTTGGGAAATGGTTGCAGGAAAGGATTAATGTCTGTGTTACCCATGGCCATCCAAGAAAGATAAAAGCTGAAATTGTATTGGCTGCTATAGACATCACATGGTACACAAAATGGCCACCCCTGTAGTGCAGACAATTACTTTATATCTATTTGGTTTTGTGCTTGAAACTGTCCAGACTGGCAAATAGATCTATATAAAAAATCAAAAAATTGAATGCGCTAAATTATATCAAGAATTCATATATCGTGCAAAAAGGTCCAAACACCATAAAATCAATATATGAAAAAATCCCCGTGAACCAATCCATAAATTATTATTAGTGTAAAAAGTCCAACACCCCAATGAAATTTCTTCTTAAAACATATAAATACACCGTGCTCAATCCACCACCAGATGAATGGAATAAACTCAGCAGAGCTCAATGCTGATCAAATTATAAATCAGCACAAGCGTATTTGCTCTGGGAGCGATGTGAGAATCCAAAGAAGCAACACTCTGTAGTTTGAGACACTCTGTAGTTTGAGACACTCTGTAGTTTGAAATCATCCAGATACCAGGAGCAATACTCTGCAGCCACTCTGAAGTATGGCCAGGACCTTTATATATCGATCATCCTCCAAATATATGGCAATATCACTCAGAAATAAAGGAAAGGCATGATGGTGCAGTAAGTAAAAACCATTTGTATTTATTAAAATCTCATCTTACTCACAAATCAAGTGTCCACCTGACACTGGTATAAAAAGCGGCAGAATACAAGGAAAGGAATGGACGAACTCCGTGAGGACGTCGGAGTGACGAACGCGTAGGACGGAGCTTACATGACTCTAGGACGTTCCCTGACAGCTGCAGGTGAACGGAACGTCCATTCCTTGTACTTTTTATACCAGTGTCAGGTCACTCCAAGATGAGATTTTAATAAATACAAACGCTCCGCACCATCATGCCTTTCCTTTATTTCGAGTTATATTTGGAGGATGATCGATCACTTCAGAGTGGCCGACGTATTGCTCCTGGTATCTGGATGGATTTCGGTGTCTCAAACTACGAGTGTTGCTTCTTTGGATTCTCACATCGCTCCCAGAGGACGTACGCTTGTGCTGATTTATAATTTGATCAACATTGAGCGCTGAGTTTAATTCATCTGTGGTGGATGAGCACGGTTATTTAAGAAGAAGAAATTTCATTGGGGTGTTGGACTTTTTACACTAATAATAATTTATGGATTGGTTCACTGGGGATTTTTTCATATATTGATTTTATGGTGTTTGGACCTTTTTGCACGATATATGAATTCTTGATATAATTTAGCGCATTCCGATTTTTTGATTTTTTATTGTACACCAATACTTGGGTTAGAGGTTTGCTGCTTTATAGGATTGATATTATTGATTGGCGCTTTCTTTTGTTTGTTTTTTTGAAATAGATCTTTATGCCCACAGCAGCCAATCAGATTCTGACTTACTCGACTGCAAACATGAGAAGGAGAATCTGGTTGCTATGAGTACTTGTAGTTCCTTAGGGCAGTGCCCACAGGTTTTGGATATGTGTCAATTGACAAATGCAGTATGCTTTTGAAATATTTATGAGATGCTTTTGAGATCATTCACCAATTATTGACAGCTGCATTTGACTTGCAGTTGACCTCCTTCAGGCTTGCACATGGTCTCCTGCAGGCTGCTTTTGCACCCCTTTAAGTTGGCCAAATATGTGTCAATTTTTAGTCAATTTCAACCACTATCTATACAAATACAATTGCAAGTGATTGCTAAAAACTAAGGAATCTACAACCTACAGGCTTGGTCTACTACTAGAATTCAATAAATGAGAAGCTTCAGTACAGCTTTCTTAAAGATTGAATCCAAGCATTCTCAAACAGCGTAACTCCAGAGGTTGCTAAGGGTTCCTTTAGATGTGGCTGACTGACATCCCAATTGATGGTGTCTGCACTGTTCCATCGCCAAGGCCACTTGGGAGAGCCAACTGCATAACACCAATGAACATTTTGGTTTTCTGTAAGGCTGGCCTTTTGACCACCAATCTGAGGGGGGGCATTCTTCCCACAGACCACCAATGTAAGGGGCATTCTTCCCACTGACCACCAATGTAAGGAACATTCTTCCCACTGACCACCAATGTAAGGGGCATTTTCCCACTGACCAGCAGTGTAAGGGGCATTCTTCCCACTGACCTCCTATGTAAGGAACATTCTTCCACTGACCTCCAATGTAAGGAGCATTCTTCCCACTGGCCACCAATGTAAGGAACATTCTTCCCACTGACCACCAATGTAAGGGGCATTTTCCCACTGACCAGCAGTGTAAGCGGCATTTTTCCCACTGACCACCAATGTAAGGAGCATTCTTCCCACTGATCACCAATGTAAGGAGCATTCTTCCCACTGACCACCAATGTAAGGAGCATTCTTCCCACTGACTTACAATGTAAGGAGCATTCTTTCCCACTGACCACCAATGTAAGGAACATTCTTCCCACTGACCACCAATGTAAGGAACATTCCTTCCATCGACCACTAATGTAAGGGGGCTATTATTCCTACTGACCACCAATGTAAGGAACAATCTTCCCACTGATCACCAATATAAGAAACATTCTTCTCACTGACCTCCAATGTAAGGGGCATTCTTCTCACTGTTCACCAATATAAGGAGCATTCTTCCCACAGACCACCAATGTAAAGGGCAGTCTTCTCACGGACCACCAATGTAAGGAACAATCTTCCCACTGATCACCAATATAAGAAACATTTTTCCCACAGACCTCCAATGTAAGGAACATTCTTCCTACCGACCACCAATGTAAGAGACATTCTTCTCCCTCATCATCAATGTAAGGAGCATTCTTCCCACTAACCTCCAATCTAAGGTGAGTTCTTCCTATTGTCCGCCAATATAAGAAAGATTCTTGCCACTGACCACCAATGTCAGGAGTATTTTTCAAACTGATCACCAATGAATTGGTTTTTACTAGGGTTCCTTGAAAACTAAAAATTACTTTGGGGTTCTTCTGGTGTAACAGGCTTAATAAAGGCTGATCTCATTGAAAATCACTAATAAAACAATGGCAATGCTTTTGAAAGTGATCAGTTTTTTTCTGTTGGTCCTAGTGGGGCTACTTGGATCTCATCTCATTTTGGTTCATGAAGACCACTAGTTTATGTCTGCAACTGCTTTACAATTTCAACAAAAAAACAAAAGAGAAATTTAAATTGCTCTATCAAATTGGTACATGTATGGCCAGCTTTAGACTTGTATGAGGAGAGAAGTAGTGTGTCGAGGCTAAACCCCCAACCAGGGGCGGACTGACAACTCATGGGGCCCCCGGGCAATAGGGGATCATGGGGCCCTTGTGTCCTTGCCCAAACTCAAAAAAAGCCTATGAAAAAGGTACCAGGGGCATCTCATAGGTCCCCATACTGACCCCGGGCCCTCGGGCAGTGCCAGAATTTCCAAATGGTCAGTCCGCCCCTGCCCCCGACACTAAACCCCCGTGGACACAGGTCCTTTATACATGGGGCCACTCTTCTTCATACTGTACACATTAGGAATGTTTAGTTATATCTGGAATATACAAAGTTGAACTTTCAGTTTGGATAACGTATTGCATGGAGGATAATTAAAATGAGACATAAAACAGGTACAAATATTAAAAGAAGTCGTTTGCAATGTTCAATTATTCCCTGGTAGCAAATCCTAGGAAAATGGATCTATGTATTCTCTAATGCGTTGTGTAATATGTCAGCACTATATAAACACAGGGAATAAATGATGGCCTAATTTAATTATCGTATATTTATAATCATTTTATAGCAAACTTTGCAGTTTTCAGTTTTTCATGAAATGGCAATTATCGGTCTAAGATTCATTTAGCAATGGCAATGATGAGTAAAGATCCAGGGCCAGCAGTAAGCCAGAGCAATAAAACATCTTCAGATTTTATGAGTGTAAAGTTGGCCATAGAAGGATTGAAATTCAGCTGCTTCAGCAGGGGCCGGCCAATTTCGATCTGTGTATTCCTATGCCATTGTCAGCATGGTGGGGGGATTCCTCCATCCACCTCCCTTGTGGAAGGATGAATCTAACTAACCATCTATGCCAAGTTTATGCGCCAATTTACATCTGTGCGTTCTACCGCACATAGCCACAAACGCACAGCGACCCTGTACTGCAGTTCAGTGCATTGTCATTCTTTTTGAATAGCAACCCAATGCACTAACTTAGCGAACATGCACAGGGGCGGACTGACCGTTTGGAAACTCGGGCACTGCCCGAGGACCCGGGGTCAGTAGGGGGCCCCATGAGATGCCCCTGGTACCTTTTTCATAGGCTTTTTTGAGTTTGGGCAAGGACACAGGGGCCCATGATCCCCTATTGCCCGGGGGCCCCATGAGTTGTCTGTCCGCCACTGCACATGCATTGTACAGCGCACAGATGTGAGCGACTGGGGTGTTGCCGTACACTAAGCTAACATGGCAAATAGCACATTCAATGCACATGCATAAAGCACCCCCCAACTGTGAATCTACCCAACTGTGTGGCGCCCATTCACACTTGTGCGACTTTAAAATTGTGCGATTTTTCATTGTGATTTTACAGTGCGACTTGATGCAACTTTGACGCGACTTTGGTGTGACTTTGGCTTTGACCAAGGATGATTGTTAGTCCTCTACAAAGTCACACACAAGTCACATGTATATCATTCAGGTGAGAATTTCATTTGAGCACCCCCCAACTGTGAGTCTCCCCAACTGTGAACAGGATCTCACTAAGGCTCCATTCACACTTGTGCGACTCTAAAATTGTGCGATTTTTCATTGTGATTTTACAGTGCGACTTGATGCAACTTTGACGCGACTTTGGTGTGACTTTGGCTTTGACCAAGGATGATTGTTAGTCCTCTACAAAGTCACACACAAGTCACATGTATATCATTCAGGTGAGAATTTCATTCGAGCACCCCCCAACTGTGAGTCTCCCCAACTGTGAACAGGATCTCACTAAGGTTCCATTCACACTTGTGCGACTTCAAAATTGTGCGATTTTCATTGTGGCTTTACAATGTGACTTGTGGCAACTTTGACACGACTTTGGATGAGTGTGACTTTGGTGTGACTTTGGCTTTGACCAAGGATGATTGTTTGTGCTCTACAAAGTCGAGAACAAGTCACAGGTATATTATTGAGGTGGGACTTTGAAGGGTCTACATTGATGTCTATGGCCCCAAGTTGCATGAAAGCCAGACCAAAGTAATGCAGGAACTACTTTGAAGCCACTGCAACTTGAAATCGCACAGATATGAATGTTACTCATTGGAAAACATGGGGTGCAATTTGTCTTGCAACTTTGGACCCCATTGCATTGTACTGCAACAGAGCACACAGATGTGAGCGACTTGGGTGTTGCAGTGCACTACGTTAACATGGCATATAGCACATTCAAAAACGCATGCCTAAAGCACCCCCCCAACTGTAAACAGGATCTCATGAAGGCTCCGTTCACACTTGTGCGACTTAAAAATTGTGCGATTTTCATTGTGACTTTAGTGTGACTTGTTGCTACTTTGACACGACTTTGATACGACTTTGATATGACTTTGGATTGGTGCGACTTTGGTGTGACTTTGGCTTTGGCCAAGGATGATTTTGCAACACCCTAGTCGCTCATATCTGTGTGCTCTGTTGCATTACAATGCAATGGGGTCCAAAGTTGCATGACAAAACGCACCCCATGTTTCCCAATGAGTACCATTCATATCTGTGCGATTTCAAATTGCAGTGGCTTCAAAGTAGTTCCTGCACTAGGAATGAATGATTGTTTGTGCTGTACAAAGTCGAACACAAGTCGCAGGTATATTATTCAGGTGTGACTTTGGAGGGTTTACATTGATGTCTATGGCCCTCAGTTGCATGAAAGTCGGACCAAAGTAGTGCATGAACTACTTTGAAGTCGCTGTAACTTAAAGTCCCACAGATATGAATGGTACTCATTGGGAAACATGGGGTGCGATTTGTCATGCAACTTTAAAACGCATGCCTAAAGCACCCCCCCAACTGTAAACAGGATCTCACGAAGGCTCCATTCACATTTGTGCGACTTAAAAATCGTGCGATTTTCATTGCGACTTTAGTGTGACTTGTTGCAACTTTGACACAACTTTGATATGACTTTGGATGAGTGCGACTTTGTTGTGACTTTGACCGAGGATGATTGTTTGTGCTCTACAAAGTCTAACACAAGTCGTAGGTATATTATTCAGGTGTGACTTTCAAGTGACTTTGAAGGATTTACATTGATGTCTGTGCCCCTCAAGTTGCATGAAAGTCGGACCAAAGTAGTGCAGGAACTACTTTGAAGCCACTGCAACTTGAAATCAGGAAACATGGGGTGCGACTTGTCATGTGACTTGTAGTTTTATCTCAAAAAATATTCTTACCCCTGCATGGTAATTTCTGTGACCTACAGAGGTTGTGAGATGAGGTGAAGAAGAGATGTTCTGCAATCCTAACCCACTTCCTGTCCTGTGGTGACAACGCTCCTCCATAAAAAAACCATGAGTGATAGTTGTCACCTAGGACAGGAAGTGTGTTACTGGCAGGATCACCGGGTTACACAGCTGGCAAGAGGTAAAGTGATAATAAAAATAATTTTTAAATAATTGAAATTAAAAAAGATGTTATACTTACCTGCTCTGTGCAACTATATTGCACAGAGCAGTCCCTCACCTCTTTTTTTTTCAAAGTCCCCCATCAACATTTCTGCTCCTCCTTCCTCTAGGTCAGGGGTCTCCAAACTTTATGAACAAAGGGCCAGTTTAGACTTTGAGGGGGCCGGACCAGGGGTGGACTGACCATTTGGAAACTCGGGCACTGCCCGAGGGCTCGGGGTCAGTAGGGGGCCCCATGAGATGCCCCTGGTACCTTTTTCATAGGCTTTTTTGAGTTTGGGCAAGGACGCAAGGGCCCCATGATCTCCTATGATCCCCTATTGCCCGGGGGCCCCATGATTTGTCAGTCCACCCCTGGGCCGGACTGTGCCCAGTGGGAGTAGAAAATGACCTGACATCAATGAGAATAAACAATGCCTCATCATTGGTATTGATTGGAGGAATAGTGATCCATTGTTGGTAGTAGTGGAAAAAAATTGAGCCCCATCATTGGGATCAGGGAAAGGATTAGTGCCCCGTTGTTGGAGTCAGGGAAAGGAATAGTGCTCCATCATTGGTGTCAGTGGGAGGAATAGTGCTCCATCATTGGTGTCAGTGGGAGGAATAGTGCCCCATCATTGGTATCAGTGTGAGGAATAGTGCTCCATCATTGGTGTCAGTGGGAGGAATAGTGCCCCATCATTGGTATCAGTGGGAGGAATAGTGCCCCATCATTGGTGTGGGAGGAATAGTGCCCCATCATTGGTGTCAGTGGCAGGAATAGTGCCCCATCAATGGTGTCAGTGGGAAGAATAGTTCCATAACATTGGTGTCAGTGGTAGGAATAGTGCTCCATCATTGGTGTCAGTGGTAGGACTAGTGCCCTATTGTAGGTATCAGCAACAGTAATTATACCCCATTGTTGGTGTCATTAGAAGTAATAGTGCCTTGTGGGGTGGAAAAGTACCCCAAGGGACTGATAAAGGCAAGCAAAGGGCCACATCCGGCCCCCGGGCCTCAGTTTGGAGACCACTGCTCTAGGTGCCTCCTCAGCAAGCCAGATGCTGTGGAGGCATCATTGTGTGCATGAACCCGAGCCGAGCTGTGTGTGTCCAGTGACACACAAAGCATTAATAAGCCATGCCCTTACTCCCTTCTCACAGGAGTTTGGCTCTGGCTCTCAGTGTTCTTAGTGTCTCCTGTGACACCAAGAAGTGAGGGGAATGCTACAGTCGGGACAGCACTGAATCAGTGAGAGGAGTCAGGTAAGTGTCTAGGGGGCGGGTGGGGGGTAGGATAGGTAGTGGGGAGTTTTTTTACCTTCAATGAGGTTAAAAAAAAACACGTTGACATTAGAACCACGTTATTGGTTTATGGGGCTTGAATGCAGCAACATCTGCTGATCCTCACATATTGGCCTTCAACACCTGCTGAAGGAACAGCTCTTATTCTTCATGGGGAAAAGCTGACTGTTGGGTGGACAGCTATGATCGTAATGGCTAGATTGGGTTCAAGAAGTCACAGAAACAGGAATTTTGTGTTTGGATGACCATAGATTTCAGAGGGTAGTTATGCAAGTGCAATCCAACCGAGAGAAGTCACTCCTATGGAATACCCAACACCCTACTTAGTATGCAAGGTTTGGCTGAAACCTCATGTTTAGTCATTGGAGGAAAGGAGGAGATCAGCGTTAGCAGGTGCTATAGGCAGGGCCAGTGCTAGACTATTACTCCTAGCACACCTCCTCCCAATACCCCCTCAAAGCACAATTACCCCCCACCCCCCAATCCCCCTCTCCTAACACAACCCCCTACCCCCCTCCAATCCTCTCCTCCTAGCACATCATCCTCCCCATCCCCTCTCCTAGCACAAATCCCCCCCAATCCTCCCTCCTAGCACATCATCCCCACCATCCCCTCTCCTCCTAGCACAACCCCCCCCCCATTCCTCATTCCTAGCACAAATCCCCCCCCCCCCAATCCTCTCTCCTAGCACATGATCCTCCCCATCCCTTCTCATAACACAAATTCCCTCCCCCCCCCATCCTCTTCTCCTAGCACATCATCTTCCCCATCCCTCTCTCCTAGCATAAATCCCCCCCCCCCCCCCAATCCTCTCCTCCTAGCACATCATCCCCCCATCCCCTCTCCTAGCACAAATTCCCCCCCCCCAATCCTCCCTCTTAGCACAAATTCCCCCCCCCCCCAATCCTCTGTCCTAGCACATCATCCTCCCCATCCCCTCTCCTAGCACAAATTCCCCTCCAATCCACCCTCCTAGTACAACCCCCCATCCATCCCCTCCCCAATCCTCCCTCCTAGTACAAATTCCTCCCCAATTCCCCCTCCTAACCCAAGTGATCTGCTGTTGAGGGAGAAGTCTATTGATGCTGCCTGATGAAGGGTCTATTGTTACTGTGGGATCTAATGTTGCTGGGGAGGATCTACTATTGCTGGTTTCAGGGGTCTATTTTACTGCTTTTTTTGCTATCATTAACAAATGCCATACAACTTACTTAGCACCACAAAATTATACTTAGTTCTATATTTTCTAAAAGGGGCATACTAGGAGGTGGGTAGGGGTAGAACCAAAGGACGATGGTCGGCGGTGGGTAGGGGGTGGAACCAAGGGACGATGGTCGGAGGTGGGTAGGGGGTGGAACCAAGGGACGATGGTCGGAGGTGGGTAGAGGGTGGAACCAAGGGACGATGGTCAGAGGTGGGTAGGGGGTGGAACTAAGGGACGATGGCCAGAGGTGGGTAGGGGGGTGGAACCAAGGGACGATGATCGAAGGTGGGTAGGGGGTGGAACCAAGGGACGATGATCGAAGGTGGGTAGGGGGAGAAACCAAGGGACAATGGTCGGAGGGGAGTAGGGGGTGAAACCAATGGACGATGGTCGGAGGTGGGTAGGGGGTGGAACCAAGGGACGATGGTCGGAGGTGGGTAGGGGGTGGAACCAAAGGACGATGGTCGGAGGTGGGTAGGGGGTGGAACCAAGGGACGACGAGGTGGGTAGGGGGTGGAACCAAGGGACGATGGTCTGAGGTAGGGTAGGGGGAGAACCAAGGGACGATGGTCAGAGGTGAGTAGGGGGGAAACCAAGGGACGATGGTCGGAGGTGGGTAGGGGGTGGAACCAAGGGACGATGATCGAAGGTGGGTAGGGGGTGGAACCAAAGGACGATGGTCGGAGGTGGGTAGGGGGTGGAACCAAGGGACAATGGTCGGAGGTGGGTAGGGGGTGGAACCAAGGGACAATGGTCGGAGGTGGGTAGGGGGTGGAACCAAGGGACGATAGAGGTGGGTAGGGGGTGGAACCAAGGGAGTTTGGAGGTGGGTAGGGAACCAAAGGACGATGGTCGGAGGTGAGGGGGGTGGAACCAAGGGACGATGGTCGGAGGTGGGTAGGGGGTGGAACCAAGGGACGATGGTCGGAGGTGAGTAGGGGGTGGGTGGTCGGAGGTGAGTAGGGGGTGGAACCAAGGGACGATGGTCGGAGGTGAGTAGGGGGTGGAACCAAGGGACGTGGTCGGAGGTGGGGGGTGGAACCAAGGGACGATGGTCAGAGGGGTAGGGGGTGGAACCAAGGGACGATGGTCGGAGGTGAGTAGGGGGTGGAACCAAGGTACGATGGTCGGAGGTGAGTAGGGGGTGGAACCAAGGGACGATGGTCGGAGGTGAGTAGGGGGGTGGAACCAAGGGACGATGGTCGGAGGTGGGTAGGGGGGTGGAACCAAGGGACGATGGTCGGAGGTGGGTAGGGGGTGGAACCAAGGGACGATGGTCGGAGGTGGTGTATAACCTGTATAAAAATGCCCATTAGTGACATGCTTATCATTGCTCAGGTATCACAACCGAGGCAGCTACTGCTGGGAGAAGCTGTGCAGCGCAGAGTACAGAGAGTTGTATGCCCTCGGCAGCGTTCACAGTGACCTCTACCTGATCGGAGGACAAATGAAGCACAAAAACCGATACATCGTCACCAACTGCGTGGACAAGTACTTGACAGAGAACGAAAGCTGGAGAAGTGTGTCACCACTGCCGCTTCCATTGGCTTGCCATGCCGGGGTGACCCTCAATAACAAGCTCTATGTCATGGGTGGTTGGACTCCACAGGTTGGTAGGAAGTAAATTCTTCCAGATGGAAAATGATTCATGAGTATAAAGTGTCTTTTTCTTTTTTTTTCGGATAGAGTGAGGAAAAGAAAGAACACCCATCAGGTTTCTACTGCTGTATATAGAGATTCACTCTCTCTGTTTGCCCTGGGGACCATTGTCACCAAAGATTGCTTTGTTTTTTAAACTTTGCAGTTTTAGAGTAATTGACCTGAGCCATTAGGAGCGCCCTCTAGTGACCTTCAAGTTTAAAACGGCATTATAATATCCTTCTCCACCTTCATTTATGCATCTCTATTGTACAGCTTGTCAAAATGACGTATATATTTTAAAGAAAACATTTCCAGAATGTGAAGGCTTAGCCCATGACACCATTGCATATCCCTTTTTTCGTATCCAGCATTCCAGATGAACCTTTCGTGATTTATACAGGGTTTGCACATTTGTCATGAGGATCCTGTTTACCTTGAAGGAGTTATATCCTGCCGGCTTCGCTGTTGTGATATAACATACAGAGCATGAAAATAGCACAGTCTCTTTGTCATGTGCACAGCGATGGAGTCTATAAATGACATTGTTACAGCTCCTGGAAGTCTGTGCAAACAGGAAGATATATATTTAGGCCTATTGTAAAGGAAAACAGCCTGAAGGAATCTGAGAATTATGTCTTTTGTTGCGTCTCAGTGTGCTGCTGATCTTCTACAACCAATTTGCAGCTACTTCCTGCCTACGTGCACTCCAGTGCAGGCTGCATAGCATTGCTCAGGGTGGGTTTCCTGATGGTGGACCATGCCTGTGTCATGTGTTGAACTGATCACTTGTTGGACATGGTGATAACGCAGGAGCGCAGTCAGGAGACAGGGACAGAGGCAGGGGCAGGGGCGGACTGACAACTCATGGGGCACCCGGGCAATAGGGGATCATGGGGCCCCTGTGTCCTTGCCCAAACTCAAAAAATCCTATGAAAAAGGTACCAGGGGCATCTCATGGGGCCCCCTACTGACCCCAGGGGATCATGGGGCCCCTGTGTCCTTGCCCAAACTCAAAAAAGCCTATGAAAAAGGTACCAGGGGCATCTCATGGGGCCCCCTACTGACCCCTGGCCCTCGGGCAGTGCCGAGTTTCCAAATGGTCAGTCCGCCCCTGGACAGAGGGTTGTCATCCTATAGAAAAGGATAAAAGAAAGAGCGCACCAACCTTGTGCATTACCTCAGTAAAAAGTAAATGATTTTATTAAAGAAATATACTCACAAGAGTAGCGATAAAAAAGGCACAAATAACCATAGCCCACACAGGGTTACAGGTCACATTCACATTCCATCAGAAGGGGAGAAATATTCTTTGTTCAACGCGTTTCGAAGGGCGATCCCTTCTTCATCAGAGCTGGATTTAACAGATAGAAACCATCAATTAGGAAGAGTTCACATAGCTAGGAGGCATTCAGCCACTGAGTTTGATCAAACAGGCTGAAATACTGACACTCACTGGCTGAATGCCTCCTAGCTATGTGAATTCTTCCTAATTGATGGTTTCTATCTGTTAAATCCAGCTCTGATGAAGAAGGGATCGCCCTTCGAAACGCGTTGAACAAAGAATATTTCTCCCCTTCTGATGGAATGCATATGTGACCTGTAACCCTGTGTTGGCTATGGTTATTTTATGCCTTTTTTATTGCTACTCTTGTGAGTATATTTGTTTAATAAAATCATTTACTGTTTACTGAGGTAATGCGCAAGGTTGGTGCGCTCTTTCTTTTATCCTTTTCTACAGTTTTATCAAGCTTCCCCAGCTTCATGATAGAGCTGCACAACCTTTGATCAACATCGGACAAATACACTAGATCTTTAAATAATCTCCTAACCCTCTTGTATTGAACTGTATTGTTGCTGTATTGTCTCCCGTTATATTGTAAAGCGCTGAGCAAACTGTTGGCGCCATAAATCCTGTATAATAATAATATATATAAATCCTGTAAATAATAATATATAAAAATCCTGTATAATAATAATAATAATAATATATATAATCCTGTATAATAATAATAATGATAATATATAAATCCTGTATAATAATAAATAATAATATATAAATCCTGTATTATAATAATAATAATAATATTATATATAAAATCCTGTATAATAATAATAATATATAAATCCTGTATAATAATAATGATATATAAAATCCTGTATATAATAATAATGATAATATATAAATCCTGTATAATAATAATAATGATATAAAAATCCTGTATAATAATAATAATGATAATATAAATCCTGTATAATAATAATGATAATATATAAATCCTGTATAATAATAATATAAAAATCCTGTATAATAATAATAATATATATAAAATCCTGTATAATAATAATAATAATGATAATATATAAATCCTGTATAATAATAATAATAATAATATAATCTTCCTTTGATCGGAGTCCCTGAAATAAGGAGATAGTGGATATTTGTGGTTGTCATCGTATAACAGGAAGTGATCTGAATAAGAACTTTGAGGGCAGGATCGCCACGGATTATTTTAATCAAAGCTGCAGATTTAAAATATTAAAATGACTTTTTCCAATTACATTACTATGTTAAAGCTTCTATAAGATTTTAGTGATTGGGTTTACATCTACTTTAATTTAGTCCACAGGAGGGTAGGATCAAAAAGGCTTAGCCCAAGTTCACAGATTTATGCGGCTGTGCGGGCCGCGTTTTGCGCGGGCACGAGAGCCCATTGAATGGACTCTTTTGCCCCGTGGCACGCAGGGAGACTTCTTCTGAAAATGCAGCCCGCACAGGAACCTCGGTTCCCAGTACGGTTGCGTTTTCCAGTGCGGGTGGCGTGCCATTAGAACTAATGGCACCCGACCGCGGGTCCACATTTCTCTGTGCAGGTGGATTTGCGTGCGCATCCGCAGCGGCACCACCTGCACAGATGTGAACCTAGCCTTATAAATGATTCCTCATAATGAACTTGTCTCCAAATACCACCCAAACCGTACTCTCCGCTCCTCGCAAGACCTCCTATTCTCTAGCTCCCTTGTCTCCTCCTCCCATGCTCATCTCCAGGACTTCTCCAGAGCTTCCCCCATCCTCTGGAACTCTCTACCCCAATTTATCAGACTATCGCCTACTCTGCTCACTTTTAGCCGATCTCTGAAAACCTATCTCTTCAGGGAAGCCTATCCTGCCCTCAGCTAGTAATGGAATCTTCTACTCCTCCAACCACTCCATCCCCCACAGTTACTACCTTTTGTACCACTAGCCCTCCCTCCTAGATTGTAAGCTCCAAGGATCAGTGCCCTCCTATTCCTTCTGTACTGAACTGTATTGTTGCTGTATTGTCTCCCCGTTATATTGTAAAGCGCTGAGCAAACTGTTGGCGCCATAAATCCTGTATAATAAAATAATAATATATAAATCCTGTATAATAATAATAATATATATAAATCCTGTATAATAATAATAATATATAAATCCTGTATAATAATAATAATGAGTCAAAAAAAGATTTGTCTGAATATCATAAAGTCACTGAGAGGTTTTTTTTTCTCAATAAAAGCGGAGACTTGTGCTGACATGCCCCCCTTCCTGCACAGACATTCACTGGGAAGTCCAGTGGCCTGCTGTTTCTCTTCTCCCAGCTCTCTATGCAGCTGAGAACAGAGGGTATGTGATCACTTATAAAAAATGGAAAAAAGGTATTTATAATGTTTTTTTCATATATATCTATACACAAATGTTTTACCTTTCATTTCTATTTTAAACTGAATGGGTTATTAGACAAGACAAGGGTTTACATATACTTTAACTTGTATGTATGAGTAGAAATCTATACTTAAAGTGTTACTAAACCCACAACAGTACAATCAGTCTGTAGATGCAGTAAAGCATGCTTGTTATACTCACTGTGGAACCTAAGGGGTTAATCCTCTGCATTGTGTAAAAAGGATGTTTGATCCTGTCTTCTTTGCCCCTCCTCTTGTTGAAATGACCACCTGATACAGACTGAATCCCTAGTCACATGCACATGCTCAGTTTGGTGTGTATTACTAGAGAATTTTTTTTTTCTTGGGAGAGTGCATGTGATCAGCACAGGGCAAATCAGTACTGGGCAGACAGAGGTCCAGCATCTTCCTAGGGCAAAATGAAAAACTCCAAGTTTTAACCAGTGCTTTGCTGGACACTGATAGAAGTCACAAGACTGCTATATACTGCTAATGAGAAAAGGCAGTTAGCAGTTTATATTTACTAAAATAATTGTATTTCCATGTTGTGTGTACTGTGGGAGACCAGATATAGTGAATGCAGGGTCCGGGGAGACCAGATATAGTGAATGCAGGGTCCGGGGATACCAGATATAGTGAATGCAGGGTCCGGGGAGACCGGATATAGTGAATGCAGGGTCCAGGGAGACCGGATATAGTGAATGCAGGGTCCGTGGAGACCAGATATAGTGAATGCAGGGTCCGGGGAGACCAATATAGTGAATGCAGGGTCCGGGAGACCGGATATAGTGAATGCAGGGTCCGGGAGAGACCATATATAGTGAAATGCAGGGTCCTGGGATACCTGATATAGTGAATGCAGGGTCCGGGGAGACCAGATATAGTGAATGCAGGGTCCAGGGAGACCAGATATAGTGAATGCAGGGTCCAGGGAGACCAGATATAGTGAATGCAGGGTCCGGGGAGACCAGATATAGTGAATGCAGGGTCCGGGGAGTCCAGATATAGTGAATGCAGGGTCCTAGGAGATCGGATATAGTGAATGCAGGGTCCGGGGAGACCGGATATAGTGAATGCAGGGTCCGGGGAGACCGGATATAGTGAATGCAGGGTCCGGGGGAGACCGGATATAGTGAATGCGGGTCCGGGGAGACCGGATATAGTGAATGCAGGGTCCGGGGAGACCGGATATAGTGAATGCAGGGTCCGGGGAGACCGGATATAGTGAATGAAGGGTCCGGGGAGTCCAGATATAGTGAATGC